AATGAGACCCGCCCTACCTTTTTCTGTGGGTCACTGTCAAAATCAAATGAGATCATGAAAGTGCTTTGAAAAAGAAAAAGCAATATTGAAATATAAAATGCTAGATTACCCTTTTTTTATTGTGAAGATTGTCAGGGCTCAAAAAAAAAGGATCTTAAGTTTTACTGTTTAATAATAAGTCAAGTTTATCAGAAGCTTGATAACACACCATAGCTGAATACAGCAAGGGTTATTCGTTGTGTACCCAAGAGCCGTTTCTACTCTCCTTTCAAGCTCATGGGGACCCTAATTCTTTCAGGTAAGGACAGAGCTTTCCTTCATCCACCTTGATCTGCCCCAGCCCCAGGGGGAGAGTGACGACTGGTCTCAGTCACTCATGGCAATCACATTCTACTTTGCCAGTGATTGGTCTAGGGGTGGGCACAAGTCCCAGGTCTGGTCAATGAGAAATAAGGGAAAATGTGACTTCCCTGCCCCAACTTGAAACAGAATTTCAAGAAAAGAAAACCTTTTGCCTCTGTCTTACTGGGCAATCATGTGAGGATATGATGCCTGAAGGGGTAGGATCTATCTTGCAACTGTAAGGCAATAAGCACAAGGACACAATGGAAGACTAGAAGATCAGAAGGAGCAGGATTCTCTCCTCCTCCTCCTCCTCCTCCTCCTCCTCCTTCTTCTTCTTCTTCCTTCTGAATTTTATTATACAGTCAAACAGACAAAACACAGTCAGATGAGGAGACAGAACATTTATGTGTGAATGTCTTAGGCAGAAAAATTGTATCTGAACCAACAAAATCTCTTCATACATACATCAATGTGCCTTTGATCCAGACATGTTTAGAAGGAGCGGGATCCTTGATGATGCCACTGAGCTACTACTCCTGCCCCCCTCCAGGCTTCTGGTTATAAGAGTTAACTAAATGCTGTTGATGCTGAAGTCACTGTTACTTGCAGCCATTTGCATAAGTAAATTGGTGCAATCTCTACAGAATATAACTTGGCATATATTTCTATTTGAATGTACATACCCTCTGACTCAACAATCCTCCCACAGAATTACCAGGAATTTCTTCCACAGATATACTCACACATAGGTAAGTATAGTTACATCACTATATTTATTCATATTGAAATGTAATTACATTAAATAATAATTAATTTAAATATATTGAGTCAAACATCATGTATGCAACAATATGGTAAGATTAATGACAGTGCATCCATAAAATGAAATATATGACTTTAAAAAGATTGGCACAGCTCTATGTATACTGGTAGGAAATTATATTCGAGATCATTAAGATATATGTATGCTGGTAAGAAGTGAGATTCTGGAGATATTAAATGGAAGAAGTGAGATTAATAGTGGTTGAAGCTGGATGATGGGTATGTGGGGATTTGTTAGGTCATGTTTTCTTGTAAATGTATTATGGAAATTGGAAATTCACCAAAATAAAAAAATTTCAAAACGAGGGTCAGGAAGAGTAGTGTGTTTACTATGACATCATTTGTGTGTGTGTGTGTGTGTGTGTGTGTGTGTTTAAGCAAATAGAGAGATGAAGGATAGAACATGAATATCCATGGAAGGACACACCAGAAATTGGTAATAACAGTTGCTACTAGGGAAAGAGGGAGGGCTGGGAAGAGACTGAGTTTTCATATCTTTCTCCCTTTTGCATTAAAAAAAATATTTTATTATATAGGATTTCATTAAAAATAAAATAAGATAAAGATTTATTTATTTTTAAAAGATTTTATTATTTGAGAGAGACAGAGAGAGCACAAGCCAGGGGAGGGGCAGAGGGAGAGAGAAGCAGACCCCCTGCTGAGCAGGGAGCCCGATGTGGGACTCGGGACTCGATCCCATGATCCTGGGATCATGACCTGCGCTGAAGACAGACACTTAACCGACTGAGCCACCCAGGTGCCCCAAAATAACATAAAGATTTATTAATCAACCAAGTATAGGTGATGGATAGACAGATAGTCCATATCTTTGCAATGTGGCCTCAAGTGCTGTTTGATGTTCATGCAAGAGATCTGTTCAAATCCAGCCCGTGACCCCGAAGATGGTGCCACTGAGATGAGCAACCCCAGGCTGCCATGGGGTCCTGCAAATAAGCTAAGCCCTTGCTTAGAGCCAAGTTATAAAGTTGCTGGGGACAAGGAAAACTTGATTGCAGCGAGTGAAACAGCCGCTATATGAAAACAACACAAAGCACCATAAAATATTTCTCTTTAAAAATGTAATTCCATTGTATACACTTTCTAAAAGCAGAAAAGCACCAAAAAAAGAGATTAAACATCATTTCTAATCCCACTCTCAGAAGCGATACCGTATATTTTGGTGTGAACGTGTGTGATCAGAAAACACCATCTTGTAATTGGAGTCTTCATTTATTTATTTATTTATTTATTTTTATTTCTTTAAGTAATCTCTGCACCCAGCGTGGTGATCAAACTCACAACCCCGAGATCAAGAGTCGCGCACTCTACTGACTGAGCCAGCCAGAAGCCCTGTAATTGGATTCTTTCCAGTTCACAAAATAGAATTAATTTTCCTGCATCATTAAATATTATATTTTACAACATAATTTTTAATGTGTGCATATTGCTTTTACGTGGCTTTTCAATAATCTTATCCATTTCTTTCGTCGGACATTTAGTTGGTTTCCCACTTTTTCGGTGGCAGTACAATTACAAATCACAGGCAGTGCTAACACTTTCTGACTTCCACAAATATTAGCTCAACTTCCTTTCTTCCTTCCTTCAATAAATAGTTATTAAATAAGTGCAAAACAACCAGGCTCAAACAAAGCAACTATGAAGGACATTTTTGAGATATTTGGGGAATTTGAATGTAGAGTTGCTCTTTCGTGATGCTAAGGAATTATAATTGTGTGACAATGTTCTTGTGGTTATGGGGAAAAGCTTCCTTATTTTTTAGAGACTCGCACTGAAATATTTAAGGATGAAATGTCACAATGCTTGTAATTTGCTTTAAAATATTTTAGCCAAAAAGTAAATGAAGCAAATATGGGAAATCTACGTGATAGGTATATTGTCTGCTTTTCCGTATGTTTGAAATTTTCATTTAAAAATATGTCTTATAAATGAAATACGTCATGCTAGGTCCTGGACTATGAGCTGAAGATGTAGCAGTGAACAAAACAGACCCCTGTGGTCTTGGTGGAGCACACCAGGCTTTGGGGAACATGTTTCCATAAGAAAGTCTCCAATGCAACCTGATGGTGTCACCAGGACCGGTGTCAGCCTAGCGTTCCTTGACCTCCACACCGTCATCACTGCAGGTGTCTTTCCCCACCTTCTAAATATCTACCTCCCAGTGGCCTTGAGTCTAGAGGAATCCCCACACTGTGGTCACTAATACTGCATGTCGGAAATCAGTTCTGTGGTCCATAGTGCCCCTAGGGTTCCATTCAGGAAACTCTTCCGGGGCACCCAGGTGCGCCTGGCATTGCGAAGGTACCAGGACTTAGAAAGGGGATGACCTGACCCCTGCCTTCCACTTACAGCCTGTGGGAGGAGGTGGAAGAGGTCACCCAAGCCAATTGGAAGGAGGGGAGTTGGCTGGAAAGGTGACCAGGACAAGCTTCTTCAATGGGGAAGGAAGAGACCCCAGGGCAATGGAAAGATTCTGCTGGGAGAAGGGCTGGATGAGCAGTCCTGCACGCCCACCCACAACTAACTGCACGCCCACCCACAACGCCCACCCAGAGGAGCTAATGTTCATTGCATCCTTTAGTTCAGGGGTTGGAAAACTTTCTCTCCAAAGGGCTGGATAATAAACATTTTAGGCTTTTCAGACCAAGAGACAACATCAGAGATATGTAGGTACAAAAGGGAAAATGTCCCCTCCCCATTTTTTGGCCAAAATTCAAAACTTTATTTATGGACACCAAAATGTAAATTTCATATAATATTCACGTTCCATAACTATTCTTTTTATTTTTATTTTTTCAACTATTTAAAAATGCAAAAACCAGTCCTAGCTCATAGTCATACCGAAACAGGTGGTGGCCGAATTCGGCCCACCCACGTAACTTCCCAACTGCTCCCCGCACAAGATGGGCTGGTTCTTAACTGAACGGTTTGTTTTCAGGGCTGCTCTTTGCTGTGGGGACGGGAATGGGCCTGATCTAGTTGTTGGCACCTGGGTTCCTGGCCCATTTCTACCCCTTCCCAGCTAGGGGTTCTAAAGAAAGTCACTTAACCTCCTGGACTTCAGTTTCCTTGTCCCTGAAACCCGAGGGAGGCTCAGGCTTCTACTCCCAGGTCCGGAGGGGAAAATACCGCGTCGTACACTCTCCTATGTACGTGGGAAATACTGGGTAGGCGATGGACTCGCGGTGCGTCCAGAGCATCCCCCAAAGGCCAAAGTGCACGGTCCTCCTCACAGCCCTCCGAAGCAGCGCACCCAGTGTCGCCTGGGGGCCGACTCCTCACAACCCAGTTCCGGTGGCTGAGCACTGGAAGCCGGGTTCTGGGCGCGCCAGAGCAGACCCCCATCCTGGGTGGGGGCGCGGGCTGCACGGCGGGCAGGCTCCCTCTAGCCCGGGTCCGTCGGGCCGGCCACGCGGGCCTCGCCGTCGGTGCGCCTCCGCCTCGTCGAGGGCGCGCCGTCCGAGCTCCCAGCGGGCTCAGAGGAGCCCTTCACCGCCCCCCTGGCCCCGAGAGGTCGATCCCGGCATCGCGGCCGTGCCGAGAGCCTCGGGCGGTACCGCCAGTACTTGCCGTCCCCGCCAGCCGCCCTCCGGGCTTTCCGGCTGTCCCCGAGGGCAAACACTTATCTGCCGGCGCCGCGGAGGCCCTCCCTCGAGGCCCCTGCGCCTCCGCCCGCCGGACGGACACTGTCTCACGTTGCCCGACAGGGCGGGGCGGGAGCTGGCCCTCCGGGTGCGCCCCGGCCTGCCCGCCAGTTGCGCAAGTTGTGCTCGGGCGGCTATAAGAGGGGCGGGCAGGCATGGAGCCCAGGAGGAATCGCGGTGCCGGCAGCTGCGAGGTAAGACCCGGGTACGCTCCTTTTTCCTTCTCCGCCGGTTTTTCTTGGCCAGCCACCCCACCCCACCCCACCCCACCCCACCCTGAACGCCGGGGAAACTGAGGCGGGCGAGGACAGGCAGGACAGACGGCTTGGTTCTGGACTACGGCGGCTTTGTACCAGAGTTCAAACGGGAGGGAAGGCGGGGGGGGAGATCTGGATTCGGGGCCGGGCTGTGCCAGTGCCCACGGAGCAGGAATCTGTGCCATGGAGCCAGCCAGGGTCCCCGGAGACTGTCAGAGCCGCCAGCCCAGCTGCTGAGATGCTTTGGAAATTGCCTCGAGCACATCCCCGAAGATCAGGGTACCCTGCCCCCCTCGGAAAGGGATAGAGTCGGGGGTGCTGGGGGTTCGGGCAGGAGTGTTCGGTTTCTGGGAACTAGGTTGCTCTGCGGCTAAGAATTGCGGCATTATTTTCCAGTGGGGGTGTTCATCTCTGATGTGTGAATGCAAGGATCTGTATAAGGCCAAAGCCTAGGAACAGGACCACTGTGGGGTAGAGGTGGAGGGAAAACTGTCAGGAAGAACCCAAATATCTCGAGAAATTCTGCCGAGTCTCACACATCTGGCCTCAAAGCCAAGCAACTTGCCTTCTTGACAATGGAAGAAATTGGGGTTTTCTGAGCTAACAGAGCAGCGGGTCGCAGAACGGCCTACTGCATGTTTCTCACTGTTACTAGCTCTCTTGTCAATACCGCAAATACCCACTGTTGGCAGTTAGGCCCCAGGCAGAGTCGCCTTCTCTCCGGGCCTGGTTTACATTGCACTGTGGGTGTGGTTGCCTTTACCTTCCCATTTCTACAGTTGCAAGATGGTGGCATTCTGGAATTGTGAATCCTTAGGTACAGCTAGATCCAAGAGGAGTGGCCTGGTTGTCCTTTGAGAATAGCAGTTTTGGAGAGGGTGAGATGATTGATTTCTGCTAGAAGGGTCTTCAGGGTGGGCGGGGCAGAGGGCAGCTACTTGCAGGCGCCAACCTAGGAGCATCAGCTCCATGACTCCCCATTGTAGGAACCGGGAAGTTTGCTCTGTAGTGTTCTGAGGTGGGCAGCAGTCAGCTGGGACTGGTGGGAGAGAGGGTACCCAATCTCTTTCCCACCAGGCTGGTCTACAGAATCATAGTCGCTGCCATTCCCATGTGCCCAGGAGCAGAGATGCCATGCGGATCATTTCTCTCATTTAGGTAGGGGGAGAAGGCAAGAGAAAAACAGTGGATGTTTTTAGGTTCTTCCCTTTTCTAGCAACTGAGGACACTGGGCTGAGGGGAACGTGTCCATGTTGGCCAAAGGAGCGTCCTTCTCATATTTTGTACATCTTATGCCCAAAATAACTCTTCTTGGTATTTGGGGGAAATATTCCACCACCCCCCATTCCAGGAAATGGCTCCAAGTGCCAAGGACAGAGCCAGGGAGATTGCAATGAATTCCTCCCTTTCAGCCCCAGGCGGATGCCTCTCGTGTCTGAGTGGCCTGTGCAGGGTGTGGAGGTGGCCACTTGGGAGAGCTCTCCTTGCAGAACCCAGGTCATTGTCCCCTGCTCCAGCCTAGATGCCACCCGTAGGAATGTGGGAGTTGGGGAGAGAGAAGGGGCTTCAGGGAAGTAGAGTCCTTGTGGGGTGTGCATCCTTGAACAGCATGCATGTGATTGCAAGGAAAAGCAAGCCAAATTGTCTTGCAATTGTCCAGTCAACCAGGAGGCTCTGTCCTCCCCAGCAGTAGGATTCTGTGGTAGCAGCTCCATCCCGGCCTGCCAGCCCGGAGCCTTGAAATTCTTCTTTGTCCACACAGTTGTCTCAGAGAAAAAGAAAGAGGTTGTTTTTGCTGGGAAACAACACACCTGATGCCTGGGCTCAGGGAATTCTTTGCGCTTATTCCATGTGTGACAACAGATGTGCCTTCCTTCTCAGCAAACTGCATTTTACAGTCTTTCCTGCCCAGTTTGTCAGCTCCCCAAAACCGGATGCGTGATCCATGTCAATGCTGACATCTCACTGATTTCATTGAAGATCTCATCCCCATCGGTGTGCGCATTGTGTTTGTACTCTGCGGTGCATGGGGCTGGGGAGGAGTGCAAAGGCGGGGTGGGGGGAAGCCACAGAGAGGAGGGGGAGAGGTCTCTAAGAAGCGCAGGAGGCCCAGAGCAAGCAGCTGGAGCCTGGCTGATGAATAGGACTAAGGCAGGGAGCGCCTGGGACCACCATCAGGATGAAGCAGAACTGGGGAAGCTGAAAGGAATGGGGACCCACAGGGTGCTGGAGGACGCACCTGAGGTGCAGGAAGCCAACCAAGGTCCCTGTTAAAGGGAAACCTGGAAGCCAAAGTGTTTTCTGCCTTCATTAAGAAAGTTTCCTAGGGATTCCGGCTGGGCAAAAGGGAGTTCTACAATGTGACTTTGAGACCGTGGCAGGTGAACCATGATAGAGGTAGGTTAACCTGGTTAGACAATGAAGGTCAGAGATGGGAAACATTTTATTTATTCTTTCAACAAATATTCATGAGTACCTGCTCTGTGCCAGGCCCTTGGGAGATGCTGGAACAAATAGCATGTCCATGCCTCCTGCACCTGGCAGACAGTGCTAATTGATCGAGGCACCCTCTCCTCTGAGGCTGGATGGAGCTTCAGGTTCCTCATCTGCACGGTGTGCCAGGGAGCCGTGGAAAGTTGATCAGAGTTGACACTGGAATTGAAACCTAGTTGTTATCCATGATGGGGATCAGATCTAAGGGTGGTTTGTGATGAGTAGGAAGAATGTAACCCCCACACCCCCACTCTGACTGCTGGTTAAGTGTGTTAACATTTCTCAGACAAAGCTCTTGGTTGCAAAGAAGAGAAAACCACTCATGCTAGCTCAGTGTTTCAAACAATATATTGCAACCAACATTGAAAAAACAGAACTCCTAAGAGTGCAGCACTCATCGTAAGGGTGAGTTTGATTTCTTGACCCTCATTCCTCTTACATGTGTTTATCTATATCTAAAAATATATTCAGAGAGTTGAAACATACTCAAGTGAGTATATGTGGAAGAGTATCTCACAGTGGAGGCTAAGGACAGGGAGGACCCAGAACCACCCAGGTCAGGAACCAGAAAGAAGGTCAGGAAGGAGCACAGCCACTGACTGTAATTACAGGATGAACTCTGGTCTTTCTAGGCTATTCCATGCACATGAGGGCAAGTTACAGGATGAACTCTGGTCTTTCTAGGCTATTCCATGCACATGAGGGCAACCACAGCAACCCTGGAGCTTCTGAGCCCTCAGTAGAGACAAACTGGGCTCTCTGAAGCCCTACTTTCAATTCCTGGGAGAGATGCTAATTGACCTAACCAGGGTTTGGAGGAGGAAGAGATAAGGAAAGGGAGGAGAAGAGTATTCTCGGTCTTTTGCCTACCACTGGGCATGCAGACATGGCCTCCGGGACCACCTGTGTGCGTGTGTGTGTGTGTGTGTGTGTGTGTGTGTGTGTGCGCGTGCGTGCTCAGAATAGGGCAGATCCCCCACGAGGTGGAATCAAGCCTGGGACGTTCTAGCTCTCTAGCCTCACACGCTCTACCCTTCTGCCATATTGAATTCTCCTAAACCCACCATAGTTTTCCCCAATTCCACACTGCCGCCTAAGTCTGGAATGCCCTGCTTGCCCTCTTGGGGAACTCCTGTCTTTAAGGTCTCAGTTCAAATACTGCCTCGTTTACAAGGCTGTTCTCACCTCCCTAGAGTTACCACCTTCCTCTGTGCTCCCCAGATTCTATGCTCCTTCCCTCATAACCTTGATGAGGTTGTGTTAAAATGAGTTATTTTCGCTTCTGTTTGTTCCACTGGATCCTGAGGAGCTTGAATGACCAAGATCTGGTCTTCCCTGTCTCTATTCATCCTTTGTTTTTTTCCCTGTCCCCAAGTTCCTTCCAACTTGGAATTATGGAGAAAGGAAGGAAAGGAGGAGAAGGAAAGGATGGGAGGAAGCCCGCAGGAGGAATTTCTGCAGGGGGAGGCTTAGACCATCCAAAGCTTTTCCCTCATAATTAACAGCAAATACCACATTATCCGAATTTAATTCATACTAGCACACCGAGGCTTACTGAAGAGGGGGGTATGGAAATCCCACTGGCTGGAGAAGAGAAGAAGGAAGAGAGGAGTGTGTGCTGGGTTCCTGCTAACCTCTGGCACTTTCAACCAGGAGAAGACATGTGACGTTGGATGCCTCAAGGCTAGCAGCCTCCACCAGCAAATGCCTCTGTGTCCCTAAGCTCTCCCCACGCCCCGGCTCCCCACCACCACTGCTATCATCAGCAAGGCTGTAGGCAGGCCTGACCTTGGCCCAGCAAACCTTCCAGCCTGGATCTGGAGAAGCGTCCCCCTATCTTGACAGAGAGGTTCCAGAGGTTCCCCTAGGACCAGGGTGGAGGTGAAGGAGGTCACATCTGGAGGCCACCAGCTTCTCGGGGAAATAGGAGGTGAGCTTGTCTGTGGAGAAGGCAGAGGTGGGGCGCCCACGTAGAGGTGGGGCAGGGTTGGGGAGGGGGGTCAGCTAAGGATGAGTAGAGCTGGGGCCAGCATCCAGGCCCCAGGTGAACTCAAAAGAGTAGGATGTGGTCAAATGGAAGGTGTGGTTATAGGAGCCTCTCTCGCTGGCCTGGGGGCTGTTTTCTGTGGTGGTATTTCCTTTTCTAGTGCTGCCCTGGGAGCACCGGTTTTTCTTTTTTTCTTCTCCAGTGCACCCATGGAGGGGATGCTGGTAGAGATGACGGGGGGTGTCAGGGTCTTAATTAAAGGAGGGGGCGGGCAGCAGGAGGCAAAAGCTAGTGAACAGGAGGGCCAGAGGGTGAGGGTGAGCAGAGGGGTGGGGGCAGGGAGCAGCAGAGTGAAGGGGAGGCCTTGGCCAGTGTGCACGCGGCCCACTGGCCACACCTCCCCCGACGGTGCCCATCTCCCTCCCCAGGATCTACTTAAATAATGGGCGGAGAGAAACAAAATTTGAGACAGGATGTTGTATCAACATTTCAGTGGTTCCTCTTTTAACCCTCAAAACATGACAGCTCCTAAATGTTCAAAACCATTTTGGAAACTTTTAGACAGGAAAGGTTTTGCCGCCCAGGCAGCTGGCTGACAATTGCCTCTCTTCCCTGTCCCTCCCACCTCAGCTCTCTCCATCTGGGCACCCCTGGGTCTACAGCTGCAGCCCTGTTTTTCTGAATGTGACTGCCAATCCCAAGTGTCAGCTGGATGGGTCCACCTGAGGTCCCACCAGTTGCAAACAGCAAATCAGAGGCATTGCGACTCCCTCCCTGTGCCTCTGCCAATTTCCATCTCTATCCTTCTTGTCACGTGGGCGGAAAGCATTAGCCTGGGGACAGTCAGAGCGCCTCACTTCCGCAAAAGAAGCCTAACCTCCCTACGTGGCACCCGGGGCCCAATCCCACCCTACCTCCTGGCCCATCAATCCCATGCTGGCTGTGAGCCCCTGTGCCCTGAGTTCACAGGTATTTTTCAGCCTCTGAGCCCTCGGCTGGACTGCTCCTCTCCTCCATCTTCACAAACCCAATTCCTCCCGATTTTTACGGCCCTTATCAAATGCCACCTCCTCCAAGACACCTCCTCGATTCCTTAGCTGGAAATAGTGGTGATAACAGCTCCTGTGTATTGGGGTTGGCCATAGGCCAAGCGAAGAGCTAGCGCTTTACATACATTACCTCATTTCATCCACAGAACAGCCTCAGGTGGGAATTAGTTGGTATCATTCCCATTTTATAGCTAAGAACAATGGTCTGAGAGAGTTTGGCAGACTTGTCCAAGGTCCTGTACTCCAACTCAAGCAGAGTTCTGCTGAACTCCAGGGTTCATAGTTTTACACACGTCTCCCTCCTGTGAATTACCCTGGGCATGCTGTCTGTTTAAACATCCCTCCTAAAAAAACAAAAAACAAAAAGCAAAAAAAACTTTCACATTCTTCCTGGAGTTAGAGCTAATTATGTAAACTGGTTGTTCAAGAGCACAGTTTTGTTCTTTAGTTTTCTCTCTAAGAGGTAATGTATGTTAAGAGTCGACCACATTAAATCCTGTGGTATATTCCCTGGGCTTCGGGGAAACCCAGCAGTCTTCATGAACCCCCATCCCTCCCTGGTCCTGATTCCCACTTTCCTGTGGTTCCATGTCCTTTTTGTCTTTCTGCCTGGCCCATGGTGGGCGATCAATACACGTCAGCTGTCAACCATCTGCTATCCCCTGAGTAACCATTACGTGTCAGGGGCTGTGCTTAGTGAAGTTGTTGCTGCTGTCTTGAATTATCCCTCCCCTCTCTAGTCCCTAAACTCTGCTCTTGCCGGCCATCTGCACCACCTTCTTGGGCCACAGCCAGTCCCCACCCAGGTACTGACACTCAGGGGAACCCGGGAACACTTGACATCCACTCTGTCCTGATGCCCATGTCCAGGTGTGCGAATCAGCTAGCATTAAGTTTGGCTGCATTTAGCAGAGACCCCAAATAACAGTGGCTTAACCAAGACAGAGGATATGTCTCACACGTGCAGCACAAGTCCAGGGATGGGCAGTCTGAGGCCAGTATGTCACCTCGGCTCCCCATTCCACCATTTGTAGGGCGAGGCTCTCCTCCTCATGATTCAAGATGGCGCCAGAGCCCTGGCTACTGCGTCCGCAATCCAGGCATGGGATGGAGGGAGGGATGAAAGAGGAAAAGGCAAAGGCACACAACCCAAGAGCTGCCACACAGCACCCATGCTGATATTTAATTGGCCAGGCTTTAGTAGCATAGCCAAACCTAGTTGGGGGAAGCTGAGAAGTGTAGTATTTATTCTGAATGGCACATCACCATCTAAACTTGGATATTCTATTACTGGGGAAGGAGGGAAGAATAGATATTGGAGATAACCAGCAGCCTCTATTAAAAGGGTTCGGTGTGTTGATGTATTTGTGTGTGTGCATATGCTGTGTGTTATGTATGTGAGCACACGTGTTGTGTTGCGTATGTTGGTGGGCCATGTTCTCTCCACCACTTTGATCTCAGATGGACTTATTATGGGTTCCCTACGGAGCTCCCCTAAATCTGGCTCCTTCTCTTAGGCAGATTTAGCAGCAGCTTCTCAATTCCACATTTCAAGGAACTACAGTGTATTTTCTGTATCCACTGAAGCATATTATCAGTGGTGATAGAGGGGCTTGTAAAACTGCTTTCCCATTCAGGTGTTACAAGGTGGCCATTATGCGAGAGTGACTATGACCAGAGTTAATCTGGTAATAAATTCTCCCGGGAAGGAGGGTGTCATTACACTAGAATCCTAGAAAAGGGTACCATTCAATCTTGTGCTGCAGGGGGAGCACCCAGAAATGCCAGGCACCCTGTGGAGATGGCCCAGGGGACGCAGCGGGCCAAATGCTAGATTCAGGGTTGGCTACAGGCAGTGGTAGCCCACTGTTTCAGGCCCTGCCCAGTAACCACACAATTCCCAGATGGCTGACCTCTCCCCCCACCCACCCACCCTTCGGCACACACACGCACAATACGCAGGGGCTTGACAGGTCCATCTCATTTGCCCTTTTCAACCAGGTGGTGTTATTTGTTCCGTTTTACTCACGGGAACGGATGCTGTAGGGAAGTTAAGTATTTGCCCAGGGGCTCACTGACACCCTGGGACCGAACCACTATACCTTCCACCTTTGCTAGGGTTTCGTGGAACCATACTGGGGATTAGCGCTATTTAACTCCGTTCCACAAACATTTGGTGGAAATGTTTACTCATGTAATCAGGAGTTAATAGAGGGAGCTTCGACTTTTTAAGAGAGAAAGCAAGCGCAGAAACACCTGAAGTGCCCCCTCCTGAATTACTCGGGATTTTTCATATTCAAAGTTGATACTGGGGTACAATCTCATAGCTTCATCCTAGAGCAGGGTGTTTGTTTCCAAGGACCGTGGTCCGAGGAGGTACCTTGGTCTGAGCATTGGGGTGGTTTGTAATTTGGGGCTCTCCTCAAAGGCTGGGGAAACTGTGGGGTGGGGAGAAGGCACCCCAGCCTCTCTGGGTTAAGCAGAACCCTGACTCAGCCACTCACCTGTTTGACTTTGAGCAAGTTAGTGCATCTTCTCGACCCTCGGTTTCCCCCTTCTATAAAATTCAGATTAAAAGCATACCTTTGATCGAGCATGATAAATAATATATAAACAGACCGTTTATTTCTATTATATTGCCAGAATATGAATCATACTAATCTTGCCACCTGTGGATAGAAAATGTATTATGTGTTGTTATCAAGACCCAGATGAGGCAGAACATAAAAAACAGGGATTAACTTTTTTGCCTTTTCCAGAACCTTCATGCTAATATTTACTTGCATTTGATTATCATTTCAGGCTCATGCACACAACATGGATCACAGTCTCGCATACATTTAACCGTATTACCTTTTGTCTTATGTATCTCATTAAAACTTTGCTGCTTACTCAAGGATCTGCACATTATTAATATTAGAATTCATTGTTCCATGACTTTGAAAGTGTCAATCATTCTGGATGAACATGTTATATAGTCTCTCCTGCCTCCATGCCTTTATTTTATTTTTTTAAATATTTTATTTGTTTATTTATTTGTCAGAGAGAGAGAGCACACAAGCAGGGGGAGCAGCTGAGGGAGAGGAAGAAGCAGGCTCCCCGCTGAGCAAGGAGCCCGATGTGGGGCTCGATCCCAGGAGCCCGGGAGCATGACCTGAGCTGGAGGCAGACGCTTAACCGCCTGAGCCACCCAGGCGCCCCTGCCTCCATTCCTTTAAACCAGCTGTTTTCTGGCCACTTGTGGCAACCACTTTCCGTTCTTACTAATGCCTACTGGGTCTTTAATACCCAGCTCAGGTGACACCTCTTCGAGGGATCCCCTTTTGTACTCCTGTGGTATCTTGCACTCATCCTTCTCGAGAAGTTTGCTCTTCCTGTATTGGAATGGCCTGCAGACCTGTTTATCTCTCCTATGAAAGCATAAGCAACCCGAGAGTAGAGAACACCTGTTGTTCACGATTGTATCCTTGGTGCCCGGCTCTGTATCTGACACATTAACAGACCTTCCACCAGGGCTGGGTGCATTCAGGCTCCCGGTGGGAGAGAAAGGAAGTAATAAAGCCCGTGATAAATGCCATCACAGAGGCATCAGCGGCCGCCATGGGAGAGTAATGGAGAGGACAGGTAACATCATCTCTAGTAATAAGGATAATAATAGAGTACATTTCACAACACCTTTAAAGCTCTTGCACGTGCATTGTCTCATTTGATCCTCATAAAAGTCAAGAGATAGATATATTGCAGGAGATGCGGGTGGGGTTTTTAGTGGTTATGTGATATGCTTTGTGTCAGGCCGCTATTAAATGGCTGGGTTCAGACCAGACTTTAAAAGCCCATTCTCTTCTTCCCAGCGTGCGGTAAAGTCCTGTCATCACCACGACGTCCATTTGCTCCTGCCTTGGCTTACTGCTCTGTGGTCCATCCCACACCACTTCGTAGATTAATTGCTCAGGCCCTGCCTCCCCGAGGAAATGCATTTCATTAATGTAATTCTAGATAACAAATTGTCTTTGGCACTGAGGGGATGATTGCTATGGCAGAAGGCAAGTTTCAATTTTATACACATCAGATAATGTGGTTAGTAACAGGGCGTCTGGGTGTTTTTTCTGAGATACCAGCGACTTGCTCTGTGTGGCTCCTTCTGTTTTCAGGCCCGAGAAGCACATCCTGGGAAGGAAGATGCATTGCGGACCCCTGTGCCAATTCCTGTGGCTTTGGCCCTGTCTGTGGTATATTGAAGCCATGCCCATCCAAAAAGTGCAAGATGACACCAAAACCCTCATCAAGACGATTGTCACCAGGATCAATGACATTTCACACACGGTAGGGAGGGTCTGAGAAGACAAAATAGAGCTGTGACCGGCCCATGGAGAAACCAGGACCTCAGACGTTAGCCAAGGCCTGTGCAGCCCCATGTAGGGGCCATGGCAGCCTTGGTTCCTCCCTCCTGCACGAGCAGAGCTGCCTTTCCTCTTCCTCTCCCCTCTGCCTCCCACCTCCTCCCTCGCCTTCCTCCCTGATGGGAATCCTAGTGCCTAGGACCAGAGGGAGCCATAAAGCTCCTGTGTCCCACTGGCAGATGACCAGAACCCCAGCTGCATCCCCTCTGGGCCTCTGTCACATCGCTTGAATGTGCTTATCATTGGGCATTCTTTTTTTTTTTTTTAAGATTTTATTTATTTATTTGAGAGAGAGAGAGCAGAGCTAGAGAGAGCACAAGTGGGAGGCAGAGAGGCAGAGGGAGAAGCAGGCTTCCCGCTGAGCAGGGAGCCCGATGCGGGGCTCGATCCCAGGACCCTGGGATCCTGACCTGAGCCGAAGGCAGACACTTAACTGACTGAGCCACCCAGGTGCCCCGCACTGGGCATTCTTCCTAGCTGAACTCTGGCCTTGTGAAGCTTCTCCCTGTTACTGCAAGTCCTGGGGTCCACAGGCCTAGACCTTCAGCCATTTCCCAGATGAGGGCTGTATTTGGAATTAGGAAGACCGAATGTGAATCTTCACACTTCTGTTCTCTCTGTAAAATCTTAAGCTAGTTCCTCAGTGTCTTGAAGCCTTGGTTTCCGCAGCTAGATAGTGGGACTATCATAAGGGATTTCACAAGGTTGTGATGAGATTCAATTAGATAAAGCAAGTGATCCATCTGCCCCACCCCGGCCCCCAACAGAACCAGAATACAGCATGCCCTCATTAAATGTTTTTAGCTGTGGTTTTTGGTAGCCCCTAGTCTTAAAAGCCTGCTTGCTCCCCCAGCATGGAGCAATCTAGAAACTTCCACATCTCCTGCCTGCTATGCATGTCTGACAGTGGCCTTGGGTAGCCAGGGAGAAGTTAGGTGGCCAGAAGCAGGGACAGCTCAGAACTAGATAGGGTTTTGGGCATTTTATAGAGAGAAACCCAGGAGTCTCCTTGCTTTCACGGGGCCACTCACGATAGACCCAGAGTGTCCCAGCTTGGGTGGTGCCGAGAGTGAGCGTCACAGGCAGTGGGGAAAGGGAGAGCCCCTCCTGTTAACCAGCGTTACTGGAGCCAAAGAGTGAGGTGGGACACTCTTGGCAGGGGGGTGTCCAGCCTTGATCCCTGAGGGGTGGGAGGCCTTGGAGAACCTGACTGGGAGGGAGGAGTCCTCTGGCGGGTGGAAGCGGGGGAGGATGGCTGGGGAGGGGCGCTTCAGAAGGACCTCAGTGCCTGGGGAAGAGACTTAACTAAGTAGAAATTGGGCCCCATGGCTGGTTCCACAGCAGAGGCCATTTAGAGGAGGGAACAACCTGTGAAGATCGGTCTGGAAGGGGAGGGCAGGGCGATTTGGGAAGGGCAGGGAGACAGAAGTCCAGGAGACCAGCTTGCAAGTTTGGCAGCCCCGGAGCCCAAGAAACAAGGGCCTGGACCAGGGTGGTGAGTGGGACCAGAGGAAAGCAAGAGAGCGGACCTCCACACTCAGGGGAGACGCCGAGGCCTTGCAGAACCGACTTCTGAGACCCTGCTCTCCCTTTTCCTCTCTCCCAGCAGGCTGTCTCCTCCAAACAGAGGGTTGCTGGTCTAGACTTCATTCCTGGGCTCAACCCGGTCCTGAGTCTGTCCGGGATGGACCAGACGTTGGCCATCTACCAACAGATCCTCTCCAGTCTGCCTTCCAGAAGTGTGGTCCAAATATCTAACGACCTGGAGAACCTCCGGGACCTTCTCCACCTGCTGGCCTCCTCCAAGAGCTGCCCCTTGCCCCGGGCCAGGGGCCTGAAGGGCTTCGAGAGCCTGAGCAGTGTCCTAAAAGGTTCACTGTACTCCACAGAGGTGGTGGCCCTGAGCAGGCTGCAGGCAGTCCTCCAGGACATGCTTCGGCAGCTGGACCTCAGCCCTGGGTGCTGAGGCCTCAAAGGCCTCTCTTCCCAAAGTCGAGGAGAGGCCCTGGGCTTCTGGGTGTCTCCAGGAGAGAGCCTGTGTGGGTGTCCTTTATCTGGACCCCGGGCCATTTCTCTCTCACACCTCGGCACCACTTTTCCAAAGGTATAAGCCTCCAAGGCACGAAACCAAAGATAGAATACATGATTCCATGCTCACCAGGAAGGGGGACCCACCCGGCAAACAGTGAACTGGATCTGGGGTTCTCACGAGAGTCTTCCTTCCTGTGCCACCTCCCCGCTCACTGCATGCTTCAGCGTGACCTGGGATGATTTCAGGAGGCACCCGCCAAGCCTTTGGACCATCAAGTGAGGTTCTGTCTGAGAATTCTGGGAGCACTGTGAAGGCTACATCCACATGGCTGCAAACTCCCAGCAACACATTATTTATTATGCCTTTCATTCTGGATGGACTGGAGGCAAGACATCAGCTTTTCCAGGCTCTTTGGGGCTGGCCAGGGCCAGGGATGCTCGTTTCCAATCCCTTCGATGGGCCTGGCTGAGGCAAACCCATTTCTAGTGACTTGAGGGCTCTCGAGTTAGTTCTTTGGTAACTGGCTTTGTTTCCATTGTGACAGATGTGAAATTACAGTGCTTGCAATGGCATTGCCGTGAGCGGATCTCCAAGGACCAGGTTATTTCAAAAAGATGAATTTTGTCATCTGAGATGTATGGATGTGTGCACCTAGAGGTGGGGAATGTGTTAGCAGCAAGGGGAAGGATCCAGAATTTGTTTTCTGAATTACGTTTGTGCAATGGGCTCTTCGGATGGGGGAGGGGGTCATTTTCTCATCTCTGCAACCACTTAGTGTGGTTTTCATGAAAAGATGACCCCTTCAGGGGGTTGTGGGGGGTTTTGCCAGCCACCCAAGGAGGGAGTGACGCTGAAGACTGCTTATTGGGGCAGTTGTGAGCCCTGGCTCCTCCAGTTGCTGGAGAGAGGTCTTTCTTGTCAGGGAGTGAGGATCCCTCTCTGGAGACGGCGATCCCTAGAGCAGGGGTCCTTGGTATGGACCTTGGAATGGTCTGGGGATGATCCCACACTGGATTTATAAGCAGTAGCCCTACTTGGGATGTGCCCGCCAAATTGTGGTTCTCATCTAACTGGCTCACCCAAAACAAGACCATGTTTCCCACTCATTTGGGGTGGATTTTTATTCCAGTGGGAAGGTCTGTGGGCTTTAGCGGATGGATGGTCCCAAGACCTGGGCCAGCACTGCTGAGTGCCAGACCGCCAGGCCAGGCCTCCAGGAGTGCCCTTCCCACTAGAGGCCATGTTTGGGGAGATGAACAAGGAGGCTTGGGTTTTCCACCATCCTGCCACTCTGGTGAGGCCATCACACTCTAGGTGGTGGATCTGTCCAAGGAAATTTGAATCAAAGCTGTCAACTTTGAGACTGAGCACCTATTTTGTGCTCAGCCCTGATTGGTGCTATGGGCTAGAGAAGCTCACCAAGTACACGTTAAAATCCAGTCTAACCCTCAGGGACCTTGCATTGTAGATGGTCAAAACTCCACACACCAGCATGCAAAGGCTGGCCTTTCCCCATGGCAACGGGGCAGCCGAACCAGCCGAACCAGCAACCTCCTCAGCAGGCGGGAAATGCTGAGCTGCGGGTGGCGGTGCTCAGGGGCCCACAGGCTAACCCTGCTTGCACTTGGTAGCATTTTTGCTTTGCAGGGCACGGCAGCATTTATTACCGTGTAGCCACATCCCTTTGAAGCAGCGTAGCTGACAGTTTAAAAATGAGAACATGACCTAAGACCGTAACAGCAGACAGGTCGCAGGGCCAAGACTAGATTCAGGCCCTCTGACTCCCAGAGTGTCCCTGGACCCAGGTAATGCTCCCCGGAGATGCCAATAGCGTTGGGCAGGGGAGACCAGGAAGGCTTGCTGGGAGAGAGGAGTTGGAAGTGATTTTGCGGGAGGCGAGGGATGTGAATTGTCTGGAGGGAGGAGGCTGTTTTGTTGGTGCTGAGACACCGGGGTGAAGGTATGTGCAGCCAGTTACAAAGAAAGACAAAGGAAAGACAGGAGGGAAAGGGACATGCTGAAGAGGCCTTCAGTGGCAAAGAAGTTTGATATCGAAAGGGGTAAGAATCGAAAGTTCTAGAACAGAGAGATTCTGAGATGGGCAGAGTCAGACCCGTTCTGGAGAATAGGACCTAGGTAATCATTACCACCCAGTCAGGCTGGGATCTTTTAAGCCTTTCACTCACCAAAACCTGGCACCACGGCTCATTCTCAGAGTGTGAAAGTTCTAAAATGTAAACGATTGTCTTTTTTTTGTAACTTAAAAAAAATTTGTTTGTTGTTAAAAAAAAATCCAAATAAATTAACTTTGCCCCTTGGTCTTTGTTTTCTGTCACCCTTTCTGCAGGGGCATTAGAAGAGCTATTTGTGTGTGACAGGGCAAGGCCTGGCTGGCCTCCACCCCTCACTGGGGTCAGCTCTGCCCAGGTTTAGCCACAGCCGGCCACCAGTTAATCAGGCTGAAGGATTCCCCCAAAGCACTGAGCTGGCAAAACGAGCACATTCGGCACCAGAGTCAGTGTGGGTCTGCAAATCAGCCTTGAGAAGCACCAAATTATTTTTTAAACAAAAAAAAGTAACAACAAAAACCCGCAAGCAAACAATCAACAACATGCAGCCCAACAGCAGACCCAACCAGGGGCACAGACTCTCGAAAAGACAAGACTTATCCTGTTGCAGGCACAGAGCACAATCATCTCTGTGGTGCAGTTAGAACCTGACAGTTTCCACCTAAGTTCTGGGGAGGACTGGGGGCAGGGCACGGGGGCGGGCAGGTGGGTTGTCCATCAAGCAGTCACTTCCATGGGCGATTTCAAAGTATAGTTGACAGCTGCTAACCCATTCCTAAGTACTGGTTTAAGTGGTGGAGGAAAGGGAGACCGAGCTCCCGAAGAAGGGGAAGCTGCAGAGGGCTGGGGGGCGGGGGGAGATTCGTCAGCTATGGCTGGAACAGCCTAAGCGGGTCACTTGGCAGCTCAGGGAAGTGGCTGGACTCCGTACCAGTCAAGATTTCTTTAGCTGCAAGAGACAGAAATCCGATGCAAACCAACTTAAATAAAAAAGAGAGAATTTTTGGTCCACATTGCTGAAAAGTCCAGGCCATGGTCCTTCTCTTACAAGACTTTCTTTGCACTCATCCCCCAAGGACCTAGAAAGGTGCCCGTGCCCTGACCCACCCCAGTCTCTGCCAGCCTGAGATGGGTAACAGGGCTCGGGGACGATGTATTTGCCCTCAGTGGCCGTCTGGGACCATTTGAGATGTCTTATTTCCAAGCAGTCACAAGCCTTAGAAGCCCCCTGCCCCCACCATCCCTAAGTGGCTCTGGAAGTCAGCCCACAGTAACAGGGGTCTCGGAGCAGAGGCCTGAAAATGCCATTCCCTGCTCTGTGAGGTGACTGCCAGGGTCACAGTGGAAGGGCATGTTCTTCAAGTTATCCTTCCAGAACCTTTTCCATCCTTGGGCACTCTCTTGCTCTCCCCTGAGGCACTACTCACATCTCCCAAATAGCTGGCAGACTCTGGCGGCAGCATCTGACCATGTTCAACCTCCAAAGGCAGGACTTTTGCAGAGTCTAGGGAGAAAGAAGTCAGGTCAACCCAGCAGAATATTTCAGAAGACCCCATCCCAGATTTCTGCAGGACATGACCAAAAAAATTTTACCCCACTTTCCCAAAAAGAACATGGAGTGATTCATTCCAGGCTTGTACCAACAGAATCTGAGTCTGGTGCTCTCTGACCAGCAGATCCATCCAGGTTAAGCTCACTGGCATATTGACATCCTCAGCCCTCCTGGGTCCTTGCCCCGAGAACACTCAGACCTGAAGATGGGAGAGTTAAGGATGTAAAGAAGGTAACGGAGCTTCTATGCCCAGCCCTCATCTCCAACCCCAGCTCACAGCGTAGAGGATGCTTAACCCTTAGGTGAGTTATTTAACCACTCTGAGCCTCAGTTTGTCATCTGTACAATGGGAATATAATAGCCCCTTCATCAGCAGTCTTTAGAAGATTAGATAGTAAAATATTTAGGAAGCTATTAACCCAGTGACTGATATACAAAAAAGCAGTCAATAAATGATGTTGTTGTTATTGGTACTAAAGAGTCAGAGAAGCAAAAGGAGTGAGACTTGCTGTACCAGACAACCCTCCGTGAGAGAGCCACAGCTGTGGTATGGGTGCCTGTTCATGGGGCTCCCTGCACCTCTCCCCTTGGCTCCTTAGGAAGCCTCTCAGCCCACACGGGGCAGCCAGAAGGGGTGGGGGAAAGGGAAGGCCCCAGAGGAGCAAATCTCAACCAGTGGAGAATGGGGGTCTGTGGATAAATGGCTCCCGCTTCCTAGGGTCACTTCCCAAATACACCTCCTCACCAGAACCCTTGTGTCTGGTGCTGCTCATGGAAGAACACAGAGTGAGACAACTGCAAAGCAAGTGGAGATGGATTTGGATGCTGAACCATGAAGCCAGATTCTAGAGAGGGGTAGGTACCACACACCCAAACTCAGAGAACCATCCCTAAGAGCCAGGCCTAAGAGAGAAAAGAAGAGAGAACTCCTAAGGAGAAAGGAAGTCCACTTCAGGAAAGCTTGACACGGGAAGGAGAGCAGAACAGGAAGAGGGATCTACTAAATGGAAGAACGACAAGATTAGGAAGGAAGGAAGGAAGGAAGGAAGGAAGGAAGGAAGGAAGGAAGGAAGGGAGAGAGGGAAGTAGGGGTAAATGAAAAGAGAAGAAATACATGTAAAGTTAACATTGCCTGTCTTACTGCATTTGGGCGGCTATAACTGAATATTGTGGTCTGGGGGGCTTATAGACAACAGAAATTTATTTCTCACACTTCTTGATGCTGGAAGTCCAAGATCAAGGTGCCAGCAGATCCCATGTCTGGCGAGCGCCTGCTTCCTGGTTCATAGACCACATCTCTCACTGTGTCCTCACCGGGTAGAAGGGGCAAGGGAGCTCTCTGGGGTCTCTTTTACAAGGGCACTAATCTCATTGTTGATTATTATGTACATAATTACTATTTAAAATAACACTAATCACCTCCCAAAGACCCCACCTCTGAATACCTAACCTTGGAGGTTAAGATTTAACATAAGAATTTTGGGGCGACACAAACATTCACTCTATGGCATCCCTTTATGATCACTGATTGGAGGAAAGATCAGGCCAAATCAAGGGAGTCTCGATCACTGACTGCTACCTGCCTAAACTGTCTTTTTACAATAAAGGGACCTAATAATTAGCATTTCTTCCACTGAGCTCCCATGGCCCCGGTTCAGTCGGTGCATGTGCAGCTCACGGGGAATCACTTCTGCAGGGGTCTCGCGCCCGGCCCCGCCCGGCCCCGCCCGGGCCCCGCCCGGCCCCTGGCTGTCATGTCCGGCCCAGCGCAGGCGCTCCACTCTTGCTTGGTGACCCAAGGATCAGAGACTCCTGTATTAACAAGCCCATTATATCAGGTCAGCTAATTCTGTCAAAAGCCTGAACACCGTCCTGACCCTTAAAGGTTAAAATTCTTAAAATTCTGCTCACTCTTTTTTTTTTTTTTTAATGATTTTATTTATTTATTTGACAGAGAGAGACATGGCGAGAGAGGGAACACAAGCAGGGGGAGTGGGAGAGGGAGAAGCAGGCTTCCCGCAGAGCAGGGAGCCCGATGCGGGGCTCGATCCCAGGACCCTGGGATCATGACCTGAGCCGAAGGCAGACGCTTAACGACTGAGCCACCCAGGCACCCAATTCTGCTCACTCTTAACTTGCTCAGCAAACCTCTTCCTTTTTAGTTCAAAGATATAAGCCCAAACCTACTATAAAAGAGCGTTAAGACAGTGATGGGAATCTGAGTATGGATTCTGGGTTAGATGATGAAAGGAATTATTACTAATTGTAGTAGTTGGGGTGATGGCAGGGTGGTTAATTATTTTAATTTTTTTTAAAAAATGTTAAAAGATTTTATTTATTTATTTGACACAGAGAGAGCACGAGTGGGGGGAGGGGCAGAGGGAGAGGGAGAGAGGCAGACTCCGCACTGAGCAGGGAGCCCCAGGGCTCCATCCCAGGACCCTGAGATCATGACCTGAGCCGAGCCGAAGTTGGACACTTAACAGACTGAGCCACTCAAGCGCCCCTATTTTTTTAAATTTTTTTAAAGATTTTGTTTTTAAGTAGCCTCTCCATCCAATGTGGGGCTCAAACATATAACCCTGAGATCAAGAGTCACACACTCTACCAACTGAGCCAGCCAGGTGCCTCTATTTTTAAATGCTTCCTTATTTATTAGAAATTCAAGCTGAAGTCATTTAGGATGGAATGTAATGATGTCTGGGATTTACCTTAAAATATTTCAGAAAAAAATATATGTAAGAGGGTAGATAAACAAGGTCAATAAAATGTTGGCGATTGGAGCGCCTGAGTGGCTCAGTCAGCTAAGTGTCTGCCTTCAGCTCAGGTCATGATCCCAGGGTCCTAGGATCGAGCCCCGCATCGGGCTCCCTGCTCATCGGGGAGTCTGCTTCGCCCTCTCCCTCTGCCCCTAACCCCACTTGTGCTTTCTCTCTCTCTCTTTCTCAAATAAATAAAATCTTAAAAAATAAATAATAAATAAAATGTTGGTAATTGTTAAAATTGGGTGACAGGTACACAAGAGTTTATTATAGCAAGCCCTGTACTTTGGGGCCGAATTTCCAGAAGAAACAGTTTGGGGTAAGGTGCAGTCCAGCCCAGCCCCCCCGCCACCTGGGTGTTGTGTGTTCTGGGGAGGGGAGGAGAAAGGGGTGCAGGGAAGAGGAAGAAGGAGAACAGGATGGTGGGCCCCTAGTTGTGTTTAACTTCACATTAGATTTCGCTGCCTGGCAGATGTCCCAGGGGGCTGGGGCGGGGAGGGGAGGGGGCGACAGCCTGTCACAGTGGGTGTGAAACTGTGAACTGAAACAGAGATTTGACAAATCAAACAAGGAGACAGTGGTAAGAGCCAGCTGCGAGATTCTGGAAAGGCAAGTCCTGATGCTTAGAAGAAAAAGCCAAAGGAGTAGAAATTAGAGACTCGGACGGACGTTGCCCTAGCCCTGCAGGGCCTTGGGGTGCCGCATGGAGGCCACGGAACTCCCCTTCCCCCTCTGCAAGGGAGAGTCATGGTGTCCCCACTCCATGGTTATCCCTCTGTATTAAATATACTCGATAGGGTGAGAAGCCCTGGGACCATTTGTGAAGGAAAATGGGATTCCTGTCTCATTTTCCCACTTAAGTTATGGTAATAAAAAGATACTTCATCCCTACCTTCAAAACCTTGTCCCCGGGGCTCTGCATCTGGCTGCATTTCT